TTGCTCGCCCCGTTCCTCCCTGTCTGGCCGGCGGGGTGCAGCCGGCGAGGGGAGCTCCCTCAAGCGCTGCAGCCGGCTCAAGTGGGTTAAACCGAGGAAGTTCTCACCGCTTCGGTGACTGCAAGGAGGGAGGTTTTTCCTTCCCTCGGTGTGCGGGATGAGCGAAGAGATGAGCAAAAAATGCCCAAGCACCATCGTGTGAGAATTCACACCGTAGGTGTGAGAATAATTAGCCTTCTTGCCAAGTAATCCGCTTCTGTCATGACTTGCTGGTATGAGGAGGCCACAGCTGCGTACGTCACTCACCGGGGAGACCAGCATCCCTTCCCGTGGTGAGAGTAAGCTCCTTGCAAGAGGTTTGTGGGTGCAGGGCTAGCAGTGTTCCTCGAGGGCCAGAAAGGAGCCAACAAAGGTGGCTTGTCTGAACCCAGCCCGTCCATTTACCCCCCAGGAAGAGGTCACAGATCCTTTCCCAAATGTGAACTCCATTCCTCCTGCTCTTTCTTCCACGCTTCTGATAACTTTTTGCAAGCACTGACTGTTGCCTTGCTCATTTGTCAGCATCAGCAATAACCTCAAAATTTCCAATTTAGTAGGTAACTTCTGTTTGTCAGGCAACAACATTTCTTTAAAACACAACTCCTGTTAGCCAGTCTGTTGATTGATTGCTCTTTATGGCAGTTACCTGTCCTCTACCATATTGCACAGCAGATAAGTCTGTCATGGAGTTCTGCTTAAAGAATTCGTGAACTATTTTGCTTCTCCCACCTACACCTTAGGTGAAATTTCCAGTCGCCTCCCTTCCCCACCCTCAGGTCAGGTGCTCTGGAGAAATGTGAATTTGACAATGTGTAAAACTGCCGGTCTGGTATGAGGAACTCAAAGCCATGAAGAATTTCATTCATCTTCTAATATGCCAGACTGGACAAGTCAAATAACTCTCTATTACCTTGAAAAAATACTGAATTAATTTTAATTTACTAGCTGTTTCATATCCCCTCAGGTTAGACATTCCTTTGGAGTAGATTATGTTACCACTGATACATCAGATGCCTTGGTAGAGGATGGAGTTTTTTTCACAGTAACCAAATTTCAATGAATTACTTGCATGGTAGCAATTGTCCTTGTAGAGGTGTGTAGAACTAAGATGGATTGTTTTCATGCTCTGATCAATTTATAAGAAAAAAAGGGGGAAAAATATGTTACAGCTCCTCAAAAGCATGGTCTGTGTTTCAGATGACATGAAGCCTCAAGGTGTGCAGTTAAAGATGTGCAAGTGTTGCATGTCAGTATTCTAAGGAGAGCTTAGACCGCTGCAGATGCAAAAGGTCTTCCTGTCAAGCAACACATCACTGAAATGTAAAAACGCTCCTTTTTGTATGGGCAACATGGTCCTTGCTAAAATGTAGTCCCATAAGGAATTAATATTTCTCCCCCTTTGTTACACTCTTAACTGGAAGTCGTATTTTACCATTGTAATCACAGATGGTATAAACCCACCATGATAAAGCAGGTTTTTTCCAGCTGGAGCAGCAAAATAGTTTGGAATACATCTCTTGGGCCGCTTTAGTTTGCAGTGATGTAAGGAATGTGTCATGCAGTATAAAAATCATTGAATAGGATTTTGGTGATTGTTGGGTAGTCAGCTATTAGGAGGGTGGCTAATGACTCATAATTTGAGGATCAGGATACATGAATTTCTGTATTAACCCATGTGGAAGACATTGCATCAACATTTAACTATGCTGTTGTTCTAGCCAGGCATAAGAGCAAATTCTGTTGTTCCTGTGTTTCTCTGTCCTTTGCTGCTGATGTATCTAACTGAGCAATGAAAAGCTCCACATGGATTCAGACTCAGAAAGGTTTTTCTGTATTTATATGAAAATTATAAAGCCCGATTCTTTTTTTAAAATGAAAATTAGGTTTTGAAGTAACAGACTGGACTATCATGAGTTTTGGCTGTGGCATTCTGTTGAACAAAGAGTTTAATTCTAGTGTGTTATTGTTTACATGTTCTAAAGCTGATAATTTAATTTCTCCCCAATTCTTTTTTGCTTTTGTAGATGAAAATGGCTATGCATTCTTTTTAGTATCTCCAGACATTATTTGTACAAGACATGATTCTTAAAATGAAAGATTTGCTTATTTATCTGAAATAGTTTTATTCGATTGCATTGATTCTTAATCTGCCACCAGGGGGCAATAATTCCGTTTCCTAAATCGGATCTTTTACCATGAATACATACTAGAACAGTGGTTTCATTAAAATTTTTGAGGGACTATATGTGAAAGTCAAAACATAGTTTTCTTAGAAACGCTTCATTTAATGCCAATTACACTGATATTTTTTTACTCTGCACTACTTAGGCATGTAGGTTTTACTTTTATTCTGAGCAGCTGAAATTAGACTAGAAGTTTTCACTAGTGAACGTCATGCAGGACTATAACGGTGCAAGGTTTGGATTTCATGCAAAGTAGGATTTTTTGTGTTTTTCATATTGCCTTTGTAATATTTTTAAATTTGTTTTGAATGCCATTACTTTTTTATTCTTCTTTTATTTTTTGGTTGTGCTGATGTCCTATTGATATTTACTAGCCTATAAATGTAATCCTGAATTTGGGAATTATATCACCTGACAGGGACCTTTATATCCTTATATGATATGTATTTATTTTATTTATGTGCATAATAGTTCCAAAATACTGCAGTTAAAGCCAAGGCCACCTTCTGTAAAGATCTGTACAATTCTGTATCAAATGCAATCTTCCCTTTAATGATAATAATCTTTTAACTGGATCTTCCATTGGGTGCATATGTGTTGTGGCAAAGATGAGCCAGAGGAAGTATCTTCCTGCAAAGGTGCAAAGGTCCAAAATCACGACAGACAGAAATAGCTGTAAGTATCTGTTTAAACTACACAGAATCATAGATTCATCCATATTTTTGTATATAAATATGTCTGTCTGTATAAACTTCCTAGTTTTTGTATTATTTAAAATTTATATTATTATTTAATTTTATTTCATAATATGAAAAAGTGTTCTATAGCACCTACTTGAAATTAGAGTAACTTTCTCTTATGTGTGCACTGAGTCTTTTATGATCTGCACATTCATTGATGCAGGGTTGTCTGTAGGTGCATAAAAGTAATTCTAGCCTAACAGGGAAGCGTTTGGGTTGGCCACTGCCATCCTTTCTTCCAGTTTCCCACTCTGCCTTATAGCAGTGAGAACATGAAATGGCTGAGAAATGTTGGGGCACCTGTTCTACGCTGAGGGAAGGGTAGAGGAGAAAGAGATTCTGGGAAGGTAGATTACCTGCCACTGGGAGGCATACTGTAGGAGCATGCTGGAAAAGCAGCAAACGCTGGGAAAACTCAGGTAGCCAATTCCATTTTGGAGGCATCTGCGCTCCAACCATCCATGCTGTTCTTGTCCAGCCCCAGTGCTTCCGTGTTTCACCATGAGGGAGCAACACCCCTCATGAACAGGCCCCAGCCCTCCAGCAAGTTTAGATCACCTCCATCCCCAGAGCGTTAAAGCTAAGCAGGCTTTTCAACCCCTCTTCTTATCCTTCCCTTCCTCTCGCTTTGCCACCTCAAGTAAAATAGAAAGTAGCTATTACCACTGATAGAACAAAATAATTGCTGGCCATGGAATGGCAAAATGGATCACTGTAGATTGTGTATTGTGTACCTGGGATTCATATGATTAAACGGAGTGGTTTTGAAAAGACAAGAATTTCATGCAACATCTAGACATAAAACCTGGACAGGACAGGATTTCTTTCCTCTGATAATGACTAGAATGTTTTAAATGGCTGCAAAGTGTCATGCGTGGTTTCTGTAAGGGTGTCAAAGATGTCTTAGTTCCTAGCATTTCAGCATCAACTGAGTTTTTTTGTAATTAGGAAAGTGGTGATTAAGTGGTAACTTCATTGGTTACTAAGAATCTGATGCTTAGTGACATTTATAGTTTGCGAATATGTCTAGTGCTAACTTCAGAATATACAATGCGAATTTTTCCAGTTGCAATAGATATTTAAATTATGTGTGATTTGATTATTTCCTCATTCTTGTAGCTACCTAAATATCTCACTGTTCACAGAAGTCCATACCCAAGATACCCTTTCTTCATCTGTCAAGGATATACTGGATATTTAGTATTTTTCTTTTTAAACGTTATTGCTTATAGAATTTATATTACCTCAGGTAATGTTTGTAACATGAGTGACGGAGAATTTTCTTGCTTGTTTATTAAAAGGCTTACAAAACTGGAGGCTGAGATACAAATTAAAAAATAAGCGATAGGGACCTAAAATAATTCTTATGATCAATAATGCAAAATGAATATTGACTCCTATCAGAAAGTGAATTCTTGAAGACAGAGGTTCCTTTTGTTTGAGTGTCTGTA